AAGTGCTATCCATCTAGCGAAGAATCCGTCTTTTCATTCCAGGACAAAGCATATACAATTGCGATATCATTTTATCCTGTCTCTTCTGGAAGATGGGATTTTGAAACTTGAAAAGATCAGTGGAGCTCAAAATCCGGCAGACATGTTGACAAAGACGGTGACAACGGACAAACTGAAGTTGTGTTCAGCTTCAGTTGGCATGCTAGAATAAAAGACCAGAAATACTGCTGCATCGATCAAGGTGTGAAGACAGATTAAAGTCAGTCTTCAAGTGGGAGATTGTTGAAATTCTAGATGGCTGCCATTCTAGATGGCAGCCGGTTGAATTCAAAAATAGGGGTTGTTGTGTTTTGTTGAATTTGGGCAAGGGTAAATCACACATTTAGTCATTGTACTTTAGGGTATTTTCAAAGATTAGTCCCTAAGTTTCAACTATAAATACCCTAGCTCATTTAGCTTCAAAATCATCCCAAAAATTTCCAGTTCTCTCTCAAGTGTGTTTTGTAAACACTTGTAATTTTTCTCTTCAATAAAAGATCTGCAGCAGTCCGGAGACGTAAGCACAATTGGCTGAACTCCGTTATCAATTTTTCGGGTATTATTTTTCCGCTTTTATTTCGTATTCTCACTAATCTGGCTATAGGGAAATTACTTGTTCTCGTTATATTTCCTAACAGTTTAATGTTTCTGAGCATTTACTATACCAGAGAATAGTTTGGAAATTGCGAAGGACTAATTAGTTATATGATTTTAATGCATGCACCATTCAGTTAACAATATTTTCATTTTATGTTAATTGCTTGCTCTTTGATTCTGCAGTGGTTATATGGCTCCAGAGCATGCAATGCATGGTCAACCAACAAAGCCGATGTCTATAGCTTTGGTGTTGTTACTTTGGAAATCGTTAGCGGAAAGAGCAACACAAACTACGGGCCGAACGAGGACTTTTTTTTACCTTCTCGACTGGGTAATTTAGTGTTACACCGTTACCTGTCTTGCCATTGTTTTCACCTGCTGAACTTATATTAAATGCCACGTAAATCTAACTTCATTTTTTCATGTTTACCATCTCATTATTGTCACTTCTTAGGCCCATGTTTTGAGAGAGAGGGGAAGTCTGTTGGATTTGGTGGATCCGGACTTGGGATTCGAATACTCATCGGTGGAGGCAATTGTGATGCTGAATGTGGCACTGTTATGCACCAATGCATCCCCGACCTTGAGGTCTATCATGTCACAGGTGGTGAGCATGCTCGAAGGTCAAACTTCGGTTCAAGAACTCCTCTCGGATCTCGGCTTCTCATCCATATATTCGAAATTCAAGGCGTTGGTTAACCACTTCTGGCAAAACCCAAGCCAAACAATAAGCTTGTCAAGTAATGGCCAGGATACTGATTCAATAACTCCAATTGTTGAAGCAGAAGATAGGAGGCGTCTTTTGAGTTTGAGGGTGAGTGATGTTCAATCTCAAGTGTAATCAAGTAATTGTTTTCTTATTTAGTTTACCTGTACAATTCTTCTATCTATAGTATTTTAATTCAAACTTTCGTAAAGAAAACACAATAAGAAAATAGTATTTAGTCTCTTATTCAAAATGGCACAAAAGATAATTTCCGCTTATATAAATTTATCAAGATAACAAGGAATATTATTTTTTTATAAAAAATTGACTAAAAAATATTATGAACATATACTACTTTATAATCACTTAGATTATTAAAAAAATCCTTCTAACTTAGGATAACATATAAATTTTTAATTACTCTATTCTTTTTATTGGTATATCGCAACCCTCTAAAAGAACCTAGCACACAACTGATCAAGTCTTTGTAAAATAACTTTACAAAAAAATCACATTATCTACTCCTATAATTCTGAGAGCTTCTATTAGATAACATCTTCAACTAAATTCTCCCCCGTTATAATTTTTCCCTTAACTTTCTTGAAGTATCATCATATTATCTCGATTTAATTTCTGAAGGACCTTCTTTAACCTTTTTAGGAAGAAAAAGTCATTGAGTTTCCCCTAAATTTGTCCTCTCCATGATTCTTCAACAACCCTAAGAAAATTAGGGTTACATGTCTTGAAGTTGAAGAAACAAATAATCTTAGAAAAGATTAACATTCTTATCCTACCTTATCAAAGATTCTACTTGGATGAAGAAAAAGCAGTCTAAGCATTAAGTATTGATGCTTCCTTGCCAAATGTGTATCATGCTGGTCATTAGATCAAGTAAAAATAGACCCTACAAATAAGTGGTCCGCCTTCCCCAATTTCATAATTCATCATCTCAACTGTATTATTATGAACTATAAACTAAAGATTTTTATGAATAGAGTACCACATTAAAATCTCCGAAAACCATCCCAAATTTATCTCCAGTAATCTTCTCTTGTACAACCATATGCTCCCACTACCCTATATCGTCACTACCAAAATTGCTTCCACACACACCAATAACATAAAATTCAATATAATTTTGTTTGACTAATTTGTAATCAGAGAGTGACATATGATCTTATATTAAGGTACGAATTTAGAAAATTATATAAAAAAATTAAGGTGTGTAACATTAAAAATTACTTAAATTGAAAAATTATATCATCAATATAAAATACTTACAAGATTTAAACTTTTCAAGGGTGCAAGTGCACCCTAGGACCTCTTGGTCCATCTATGCCTGCAATACTTTGACCATCGACTACAACCACTCTAAATCTTAATTTGATTTTGCAAAGCATGTCATCCTTTTAAACCAGACTTAAGTTTTCTACTAGGGTTATGGATCCTTTTTTTCTTAGTGGTTTTATTGTATCCATTCTTCCTCAAGGTTAACTATTATCGAAATAAATAAATTATTTTCAATACTTGAGTTTTAGTACTGTGTATTGCAAAACCTAAAGATCAACATGTACTTATTTTCTTTTTGGGCTCAGTAAAATATATATCAGTATTCAGTACTCAAATATGATCGTAAGTAATTAATGTAAAGTTAGGATTTTGGGGACCATTTATTAAGCAATAATAGTACTTCTGCTTTGTATCAGTCGATCGTAACAGTTTGTGAAACTTTCTGACCTATCTCTTTCTCCCCTGCAAACAAGCAGTAAAGCGGAGAAAATTAAAGAAACTTTGCTTACAACCTATTTCAAAAGAAGGCTTATATTTTCGTTTTTTATGATCTATATTTTAAACGAATCCGTGATTATTTTTTTAATAATATTATCTCTAAAGTTATACTATCATCTTCTTTTATCGTTTTTCTCCAGGTAAAAACAAGTTTCATTCCAATTCATATAATCACTCACTACAGGAGTAGATAAATAAGCTAACCCCTCAAACCCATTGAATTGAATATTTGAATGGTCTCGATATAGAAGAGAGTGTTATTTTTTTTGTTGTTGAAGATTTTAGATTAGGGTAGTTGCGTATATATATTATATATTTATATTACTTAGAAACATTTACTACTTATAATTAGAAAAGAGTTAATCCCTCGCAGTCATTCCTTATATATTATATATGTATATTACTTAGAAGAATGTATTCTGGGGGTTTGAGAGCTTAATTTCATACTTTCTAATTTTTAAAGATTTTCTACTTCCCAGGGAGAGAGAGAGATAGAGATAGAGAGGGAAACAAAGGCGTAAGTAATTGCTGTATGGTAGAAAGGTATGTCTCGTGGCTCATATGCTTTTACATTTCAAAATTTATCTTCTACTTTTGAAAATAAAATTAGGGTTCAATGGTTTCAGCCATAATTTCCATCTTCCTTCCATTCTTGGATTGCATGTAGATGTTCTATTTTGCTCAATGATTGCACATAATACGGAGACCACATTTGTTTACTGGTAGTTGAGTTCTGCAATGCAATCTCATCTCAAAATCCATTAAATGATGCACAAAATACTTCCCTTAGTCAAAGAAAAACCAGACAAGAAGTTTTGGTATATATATATTTGCAGCGCAACTATAAGTAGTAGAAGAAAGAAGTTCCAACTGATTTTCATCTTTTCAATCATTTGATCACATTCTAAAGACTGAAAAGTTACTCAAGATCTGTAGCACTAGGGTTTCTATTTTTGCTTGTCTTGGAAGATGCATTGCATATACCAGATACTGGAGAAACTTTTACATATAGAAAAATTGTATTTGGTATATCATATTGAAATCCCAGATCCATTCAAGTTGTTTGATTATTATTATTTTGGCTCAAATGTTAGGTTTCAAATACTTCAACTTGCGGGTCCTCCATGCATATCTATCTCCCTGAAGAAAAGTTGTGTGGTCCTATTTTCAACTCTAGTGGATGTATCTATACATTGGTCCCCATCCTGTAAGGTAGCTGTTAATGTCACAAGTAACTCTCAAAACACCATCAAATTGACTATTTCCCTTAACACAATACATACAGTTTACACCACAAGCTTTTATCATGCTTAACCAAAGGACTTAGCTTCTAAATTTTGGTTACATGAACATCTTCCCTTGTAGTAGCTAGGCGTGCATTCAACAGCACTATGTGATAGGGATTCAGTCGTAAGTCCTTTTGTAGTTGTCGATAAAGCATGCATGCCTCTCATCACTTTTTCAAATATATGCAGCATGGTCCCCCCTCTTATCTCATATTCACTTTGTTTTTGTGAGAACCAAATGAGAGTGTTGATTTTAATCTACGCCATCTTCCCTACTCTTGCTTTCTCAAATCTATAAATAATTAAGCTTAGATCATGCTTTCTTAAAATTGATAATTCCTATCTTCATAAATGGACCGAGGAAGTGTTTCACGAAAATTTTAAATTCTCACATAGTTTAAATAATTTTTTTGTATTTTTTATTGTTAGGTATAATTTTACCCTCTTTAAAATTTTATAACTTTACTCCATTTAAATTTTTAAATAATATTCTAAATTTTGTAATTTTATTTTTCAATACTAAACACCTGGGAATGGTCTTAATGATTGCCTAATATGCTTGTAAGGGAGGAAATGATGAATTTGACATATGGTGAAATATAACACGTGGCAACCCTACTGCCATTGCTTTTTTTTATTTTTCTTCATTTCTTCCATGGACAATGGTCGGTTAAATTCCAGCATCTTTCTTCTTTCTTTCTTTTCTCTCAAATGAAAGAACTTTATCAATAAGGTTTGTTCACAAAAGCAAGAAAATTTTGATCTTTCAATATACAAGCAACGAGTTTGGTGATTCAAGGGGAATTAACTGGTATACTTCAATGTTTGATGTTTTTTCTTTTTTAAGTTTTAATTGATTTGCAGATTTTCCTAGGAATACCTAATGATTTCTTTTAATGACGTGTAAAATTCAAAAGAATCTGCTCTTTCTCCAGGATCTCTCTATTTTCGCAATAGATCTGCATCACATACTCATCTTGTCTTAGCTTTCTCTTGTGCACTGATCAAGCAAGCCTAGTCCGAGTTTAATTTCTATATGACAAAAGGATATAAAAATTAGGCTTAGATGCATGCATATATAAACACACAGAGATCTGAGTACCTATTGACTGAAATCTATTGCTACTTCTCCAGATTATACTCCCTATGAATTTTGTTCTGTTTTTTCATTTCAACAGGTATTCAATTGCCTTATGCTTCAATAATGAGAGACCTAAGATGAATAAAAGTTCAAAGGAAACAGATTCTTCCAGCAAACAACAAAGCAACACAAATGATACCAAGCTGAGCAGTAAAGGCCAATCTAGCTCTTCTTCCCCACGGTTAACATTGAAGGATCCACGAGTCGTACGTGTTTCTCGTGCCTTTGGGGGAAAAGACCGGCACAGTAAAGTTTGCACCATTAGAGGGTTGAGAGACCGAAGGGTGAGACTCTCAGTTCCCACTGCTATTCAATTGTATGATCTTCAAGACAAGCTTGGACTTAATCAGCCTAGCAAGGTTGTCGATTGGTTGCTCGATGCAGCTAAGCACGAAATCGAGGAACTCCCTCCACTCCCATGGCCACCACAAGGGGACTTTGCCTTTAACCATGAGATGGTTTCAAGTAGTAGTACTTCTCAAGAACCAGGTCCTTCCCAATCCAACAAACAAGGGCTTAAAACCGGTGTTGATTCGGAAGATAATGCAGGCGAATTACCAAGATGGAACTTTGGGAACTCTGATGCATGCTGGAGAGCTAAGTTCAAAGAAGTTGCAAGGGAAACGACGAATGAGAAAAATGACGGGAACAAAAGAAACGAAGAGGAAAAACAACAAGACATGTTAAGCAATGCAGCTCCCTATGCTTCTTACTATCATTTTGAACCTCCAAGCTTTGCTTCCCACACAGAAGATCTTCATAATTTCAATGTTGTGCCTTTACCATTGCAATCAACATTATCTCTATCATCTGGTTCTCAAATGCTTGATCCTAGACAACAAGTTAACCATTTCCAGCTGCTCAGCTCAGCTGCTCAAACCATCTTGCCAAGCTCTCTTAACCCGCCACCGTACTCAATAAGCCAATCTATCAGACCCTTCCATTTGAGCATTGCCCCTAGGTTTCCTTCTAAGGAACGGGAGTTTCCTTCTAAATGACAAGAAAGGTGCTGTTTGAATCTATTTGCATGCTTAATTTGAAGGTATTTTACTTCCTGGAACTGAGAAGCAGACAGCTAAGTTATAGTTATCGGGATATAACAGTTACGGTTTTGTGTTTTGATTTCATTATTTTTGTTTCATCGGATGATTGGAAAAAAATCAGATCTTCATATATATAGATTTGAATGCCATACTGCTGAATTAATTCTAATCAATATCTGATGCCTATGAATAGTTTGAGGGTATACATATATTCTTACTTTCTTTTTCTAGTTGAAGTATGATCCTTTATACATAAGTAACATTACAAATTAGTGTCTAAAATAGGTTTTAACACTTAAAAATAATAATAAATTAATCTAATTTAGTAACACTAGTTAAATCTTATTGTTAAATTATGAAGTTAAAAAAAACAATTCAACTATTATATGTAAGAAATTAGCCAAAATGAAACAGTTACAAATTAATATATTTATTAATCGTTATAGATTATGATTCAGATTTCGTTTGATATTGTTAGAAAATTCATAAAATGATTTGTTTCGTGAAGGAATAATCTAGAATAAAAATAAGGATCAATAATCGATACAAAGGTTATTAATATAGTATTATTTTGGGGTTTTGGGGTTCATACAACTAAAAACATGTATGTAGAGTTTCTAGGTTTATGTGTGTGTGCTTTATGCAATATTGTGACGTTTTAAGTTTTTCTTGTGTGTCTCGCAATCTTTTGTATTTTGTCTTGGATAGTGAATTTGTTTACACACAAAATTTACCTTTGTTTCTTTTTTCTTATTATTTCATGATCGAATTACTCTTCGTTATATGTAACAATATCTCATTGATTTTGTTTAGGATTACTGATGACGTAGCGACGATATATAGTATTTGAATAAAAGTGGATAACATTACAAGGACAACATATTTGCTACTAGATCTTGTATACTACACTTCGGGAAGAAGTTGTCTAGATTATATGTAGATGAGAGAGTGTACAACTTCATGACGTGACAATAACGTAATCTTATTTTAATTAAATAAACCAATGACTATTAATATTTTCGTAAATCGAGATAGATACATTAATATTATTTTATAAATATTGATTCGAGCTCCATTACTTAATTGCTAAACTCAAGATTTAATTACAACATTTAAGTCAAGTTTGATATGACATGCTTTGTTGAATGCATGATTATGTTACAAAATATGATGATAAAGACAACATGAAGCATTATTTCGATAAGCATGCTTTGTTTTTGTTTGTATGTTTTAGCTAATAAAAGAGATGATTTGCATCTTTCTTTGGTTATGATATTCGAAGAAGATAGATTTGCTCTTGCCGTAAAAACTCTCAGACGGTATAAGAGTAATATAAGTTAATATATTTTTTGGGGACCACTATCTCTTTATATAGATTGAATATTAGGTCAATCTTTTAAGTATTTATAATTTTGTCCATCGTCAAATTATAAATACAACTTATGGTATCTACACTTTGATTCCATGACACTTTAATACATATAACACATGTAACATAATTGGTCACTTAATTTTGTGTCATACTTTATGATAACATTATACATTATACATATGTGCCCACAAAAATGAATTTTACTCCAACAATCTCCCATTAGGGTAACATATGTTTCCTAACAAATGTACAACCTTAAGAGCTCAAAATTTACTATCATATAATAAGTATTCTATGACAATCTCGTCCATCAACTATATCCATATAGATTCAAAGCGGTCTTTGCCATACCTATCATGAATAGACCCATCAATGTTACACATACAAACACAGTCAAGTGACATAGATCAATCATGGAACGTTGCATGGAAATTATATGCTGTGTGAACTGCTCATTTCTATTTCCAACTGATCATCTTTAAACATTAATGAGATAAAATTTTACCGAAACCAGAGTGTGGATAAACCAAAACAAAGTTATTTCTTCATAAATAAATTTTTAACATAATTATCCTTAAATTTAAGTAACTGAAGTTGTGTTTATAATAAATGAGCATTAATATTACAAACTCCCACTATAACCGAATATCCTTGAATGATATTACACCCACATGAGTAGTGTGCTCATGAAAGACCTTGGGTGACAGTTATTTAGTATCCGCTCAGTTATGAGTTTATACCAACATGCTCTATAAACACATAATCACTTTGAATTTTCTTTAACAAACAAAATCATAATGTCTGTGTGCTTAGACTTAAGGTGTTTATGTTATATATGAAATAAATGACTGCAACTTAATTGTCACAAAATAACTCAAATGGTTTTTCTTATCAATTCATAATTAACAGTTCATGTGAAAAAATTTTACATCCATATTCCAATAAATTCGAGTCCATAAACCTTGATCTCTTACTTACTAGACCATCGATATGTGAGCATGTAACAATTTTGTTCTTAAATGTATTATATGAATCAATTTGGCTATTATCTAACGATCCATGCCTAAATTGCTTAAATATATGCTTAATATCCTAAAATCATACGCTATGTCTAAATGCGTATAAACCTGAGTATATATTAATTTCTTTATTTATTTTAAAGCATAAGGAACCTTTTACATTTCCTTAGTTTATGTTGAAGAATTTAAAAAGAAAACAAGAATTTTAATGAGGTTCGGTAATGTGCTTACGTCATCGGTGCCTAGGTGGCTCTAGAAGTTTTATTCAATGTCACATAGGTTTAGGTTACATCTCTATTTATAATAAAAAACATGGTACATAATTACATAATTAACCTTGTACCGTACAGCGGGGGCTACGCCCCCACACCCCCAACCCACATAATCGTAACCACCCCTACGAGACTTTCTTTGTAAGGATAATTTATGTTCGCTTCGCTCACTCCGCTCCATCCTCTGTCCTATTTACCAGTATATTTATGAGCCATACCTAACAAATCTCCACCTTGGCAAATATCCTGCCCCTTGGAAACTTCAATGTGGGTTGGGCTACCTTACTTCTTTAACAACTCGAAACATTCAACAAGTCCAAGCAATGCTTGAACTTATTTATCGTAACTGGCTTAGTGAACATATCAGCGGCATTCTCATCAGTATGTACATTCTTAAACAAAACCTCTCCAGATGCAACCAACTCTCTAATCTTGCGGAACCTTACATCAATATATTTAGTTCTAGCACGATACACCTAATTCTTAGCCAAGTGAATAGAACTTTGATTGTCACAAAGCAACTGAACTCCACCTTGCTGAACACCCAACTCCTTCACTAAACGAGTAAGCCATAAAAGCTTCTTTTTGCAGCTTCAGCCGCTGCCATGTATTCAGCTTCAGTTTTAGATAGTGCCACAACAGATTGAACAACAGACTTCCAACAAATAGGCCCTCCACCAAGAGTAAACACATACCCTGTCGTAGATCTTCTATTATCTAAGTCACCTGCATAGTCTGAATCCACATATCCTACAACCAAATGATTATCCCACTGACTACCAAAAATAATTCCATGTCCCACAATACCCTTTAAGTATCGAAAAATCCACTTGACTGCTTCCCAATGTTGTTTACCAGGTTTAGACATGTACTTACAAACTTGACTAACAACATGAGCTAAATCAGGACGAGTACATACCATTGCATACATCAAGCAGCCAACAACATTAGAATACAGAACCTTTGTCATATCTTCAGCTTCCTTATCTGTCTTCGGACACTGTTCTAATGAGAGCTTAAAGTGATTCACCAATGGAGTGATAACTGGTTTTGCGCTGCTCATCGCAAACCTTTCTAGCATTTTCTCAACATAACCCCTTTGAGATAGCCATAGTTTCCTTGAGTCTCTATCCTTGCAAATTTCCATTCCAAGAATTTTCTTTGCAGCACCTAAATCTTTCATATCAAATTCCTGACTCAATACGGTTTTCAAACCAATAACATCATACATGTTCTTCGCAACAATCAACATATCATCAACATACAATAACATAAAAATAAAAGAACCATCATCAAGGCTCTTAACATAGACACAACAATCATACTCACATCGGTTGTAGCCAATCTTGATCATATAAGAGTCAAACCATTTATACCACTGTCTCGGAGACTGTTTCAACTCGTACAAAGATTTCTTTAATCTGCAAACTAAATGCTCGTTTCCAAGTTGAGTGAAATCTTCAGGGTATCACATGTAGATCTGCTCCTCGAAATCACCATGCAAAAATGCAGTTTTAACATCCATCAGCTCTAAATGCAAATCCCAACTAGCCACCAATACAAGTACTGCTCGGATTGAAGTGTGCCTGACCACAGGAGAAAAGATTTCATCATAATCAACTCATTTCTTCTGTGAAAAACCCTATGCTACCAAGCGAGTCTTGAACTTCTCCCCCTTTTTTTCTGTTACTGCTGGTTTCTTCTTATACACCCATTTGCAACCAATCGGCTTCTTACCCTCAGGAAGGGGAACTAACTCCCATGTACGATTTTGATTCAAAGACTCCATCTCCTCAACCATGGCAGCCATCCACTTATCGTTTTCCTGATTAGTAACGGCATCATGAAAAGTAACCAGATCATCACTGCTAACAGTAAGTGCAAAAGAGACCAAGTCTTCAAAACCCAATCTGCTCGGGGGCTTTATATTCGTCCGTCTCACACTGTCTCTGGCGAGACTATAATCCTGCAAATCATCCGTAGCGAAACCACCAGAAGTCAGTTGAGAAGTTTCTAGTTTCTTAACTGGAAACTGCTCAAAATCTACCACTGTCGTGTCTTTCTTCTGCTGCAACATGGATTGTTCATCAAAAACAACATCTCTACTGATCACAGTTTTCTTCGCAACTGGATCCCAGAACTTGAATCCTTTGACACCTTTCTTGTAACCCAGAAAAATGCACTCATTCAATTTTGTATCAAGTTTGGATCTCTCATTAGCAGGTACATGCACATAAGCAGGACAACCAAAAATTCGTAAGTTATCAAAACTAACATCATGACCAGTCCATACCTCTTCTGCAACTTTCCCAGCCAAAGATACCCTTGGCGATCTGTTGATAAGATAACATGCCATGTTAATAGCCTCGGCCCATAAGTGTTTGGGAAGCCCCGCATTCAACCACAAACATCTGGCTCTTTCATTCAACGACATGTTCATCCGTTCCACAACACCATTCTGTTGTGGTGTCTTGCGCACTGTAAAATGCCTCTTAATCCTATGCTCCTTACATAACTGTATAAACTG